GTGAAAATCCTTCATAAACTTATTTTTATTAATGTTTTCTACTAGTATTCTTTAAATGAGAATATTTAAAAACTGTCTCTGGGTACCAAGAAGATTATAAACCAAAATTTCAAAATTCCCATGGTTTATTAAAAAAAAAAACACTATTGGTATGAATTTGAAAGCTGAAACTATAATGATAATCAAACTGTAATTATGTGTTTGACGTACAAATTATAGATTCACTTGCTTCCATTACGGTTTGAGCTTGTTGGAATCACAAAAACTGTTGAAACAATGATACTTAAATAGCATTGTCGTGACCAACAAAAACAAAAAATAGCATTGTAAATAAATTTATTAGAACTTAATTTAATTCTAACAATTTTATTTGTTTAGATATCCGTTAGAAATTCTATGCATAATTTCTTGTCTATGACATCAGTGATCTTGATGGACCAACTGAAATGATATAAAACGAACTAGCTAGCATCTAATCGATTAATCACTTAGAAAAAGACTCGTTATCTTCAAAATTTTAAAAGTCCAATGATTCACCACTAACATTAAAAAAAAAATTGTATAAAATCGTATTCTCACTTTTTCCCTAAGCATTGTGACTGGCTGTATCTATTTAATTATTATTCATTTATCGTGTTATATGGTTTCACCTCGTAACTTTCTGGAAAGGATAACATGATTGGACATCGCATTTTATTTTATTAATATTTTTTTCACAATAAAGTCACTTTACTATTATCATCATCATTACGATTACAGCGCAGTATTTTAACTTTTTCCTTTTCCTAATCATTATTTTATTTGTCTTAATAATTAAAATAATATAGATGTGCCCACTATGTCGACACCTAGAAAAAAAACACAGTAGATAAAAACTTCGATTTGATTGAAATTGTTTGTTTTTTTTGTATTTTGTCGCTGATTTAAATTGTTTATAATCTGAAGTACTGTTTCCAATTTATTCCAAAGGACAAATAAAACGAGAATTCATACAAATATCCCAAAACATTAATTAAAAGAGCAAAAAACTACCTGCTTACATTGTAGAAACTTTTTTGTTCTGAAAATATAAACAGATTGCTTTTCGACGTATCTGTATTGATTAGTAACCAGTTTATTAAGTTTACAACCACTTTATAATTTATAACGTTTTAAATTATACTAATTACAAAAAATTTACCAAAAATATTACACTCAATTTTATTTATACCGTCTTATACAAATTTATACCGTCTTTGGTTACCAATCGAATATATATAAACAATATATAAATTTTTATTTAGATTGTACATAATTAGGATTTTTCAGTTCTGATCTAATTTTTATCTTCTGAATTTAGTTATTTTATACAATATGGTACTATATGCAAAATGACACCTAGAATAATATTGCCCAGAACTTTTTTTTTTTCAGTTACATTCCTTAAAACTACGTCGACTAGATGGAACAAAACAAAAAATCATAAATTAAAATGCGTAGATGTGGATAGACACAAAAACCTTAAATAAATAAATAAAGAAGTTTTATTTTAGCAAAACACTTTTAACTAAGCAAAGTGGGACATACAAAAGTTCAACGTTCAACGAATCTCGTGAAACACACAAACACAAAACAGCATTCGCAAGTATATCTCACGCGCCAAAAGAGACGAGCAAAAATATCGGTGTCGCGCGTGGGAGGACATGGAGGAAGAAAACGAAAGGACTTAAGAACCTGAAAATCCAGCTGGCGAGAGATAAGCGCGTATATGGGTCCTACATTCACGTGTCATCCATCTAAGCTAAGTAACACCCACGTGTAATGAGAATGATCTGTTACGACACGTGTCTTGATCGTAGAGACTATTGCTTTTGTCCCTCTCTGTGGAACTGGGGAAGGGGAGAAAGAGAACCAACCCTACCCGAGTCACGACAAAAACTTGAACCAAATTTTATGGTTATGAAAATTGATATTTTTTTGTCGTGAAAAATTGATATTTTGAGAGTAGCAAATCTATTATCCACTAAAAATCGAAAATAAATTATTTTTTTAGGTTTAATATTAAAAATATCTAATTCTTGTTGGAAAACTTGTATTGAGATTTTTTTTAGTCTTTTGTTCTCCAATTTATTTTAAAATTTTATATTTGCTTTATCAAGTCATATTTTTTTGGATACTCCGTATTGTTGATTTTTTGTGCGAGAAAGAACAAAAGAGAGACTTGTACTAGCATGACCCGATATTTATATTTATTGAAAAAAATGTTTTAAACTAAATAAATAAACAAACACTAAATGACAAAATATACAAAATGGCAAAAAGATATCCATTAAACACACAATATATTAAATTTCATGCTATAATGTTATAAAATACTGTTGGACTTATAAAACACACAAGATTAAATAAATCATACTATAATCTTTTGTTAGTGTGAACTGTTGGACTCTGCTGTTTAAATTAATTAAACTCTATAAAAATACGAGGAATCTCAGGATTAAAACCTCTAAAATATTACAGAGCAAGGAGGCGGATGTAATCCAAAACCAAAACGAAGATAGTCCACATAATAAGTGTAGTCTATAAATAATTCGAAAAAATGTTATAGGGAAAATAAAAGAAAAATTCAAAAAATGTCACACTTTTAAAATTTTTATAAAAAATAATATTTTTCAAAATAA